TTGTTTGACTTCTTGGTACTTTTAAACCAAAGTATTTGTAACAATCCAAAGAAGTAAGTAGTAATGAAGTCATATAAATGTAGCTAACATTACATTATTATATTACAGCACTATTACACACCTCTGCTGCTGCTATTTTTATTTCTGATGCTGATGTTGGGATAGGGGTTGAACTTCGCAATTTACAATGCTCCAGCCAAACCACGTTCACTCCACCTTAATATATCTTTTTTTTGTCTCGTCTAGTGCAGTTACATGTTTGTGTCTTGTAAGTTGATTATTGTAATCTTGTATTGAGCACCATGGGCCTTGGGACACGGCATTTGATTCATTTGGGTAACTTACATTACCTAACATTTATTTATTTAGCTGACGCTTTTATCCAAAGCGACTTACAATTGCTATATGTCAGAGGTCGCACGCCTCTGGAGCAACTAGAGGTTAAGCGTCTTGCTCAGAACACATTGGTGGATGGGTCACAGTGGGAGATTGAACCCCTCAAACACCTAAGGCATGTGTCTTATCCATTGCACCATCACCACTCAGTCAACTAGCAGCCTAAAAACCTCCTGCTCAGCTTCCAGACCACAGCCTGAAAAGGAGATGTGAGCTAGCACTAACTGCACTTTTCCAGTAGTTGGAAAACTTAACGGACACCCAGTGACCTACACTGTACATTTAATGGCAGACTGAAACGGAGCGCTCATGTTTTCCTACTACTTTCCTACCTACTGCCGCCTGTCACGTAGCTGTCCTTTGAAGAATGATGAGAGGATGCTAGCTATGCGCTACTGTGCTGCACAGTGTGTAGGGGAAAATCATTAACGTTAGTTGCAGCAGTCATTCATTCAACAGCAGTCTGTCTGTGCCCAACAGGGAGAACCTGTTGTGTGCACCGCATACACAGTCTGGAGCTGCAGTTCCGCATTTCGGTGTTATGCCTTTTTCGTTCTGTCATTACGTTATCAATTAACCTCTAGATAATCGATTGACATTTGTGAATCGATTCATAATCATCCAAGCCCGCATCGTGATGCATCTTAAAATCAATTATTTTCAACACCCCTACTGTATATGCAAACATAACGTTTAAACAATAACTTTAAAATCAGGCATTCGCAAGTGGGCATATGCAGACAACATCAATTGTAAGTGATTCATTTACTCAAATCAGTACTGATAATGGTGATCATGGCATTTGTGTCAATAAATTCTATTAACAGACGCGCTCAATAGAGCACAGACCTCCGCGTAGGATGTGTATTGAGGCATGATGCTGTTTAATAAATGACAGTTGCAAATATAAAGTTAACTATCAAATCTATAAAATCAAGTATGGGAACATCAGATTACTGCATGCTTTAATAACAATGACATTGATCTACTTATTTACAGTAATCCAATTATTTATGTACTAATTCACTGTCAAAACTTTAAATCTGGCACTTGGTGGCCATAATAGTGAAGTTGAAACGTAGGATTAGTACTAATAATCCACCTAATCCTATCCTTACGTGGAGTTTGTGTTGGAATCTGTGTTGTACTGGGAGCCGGTCGTTTTTTGTTTTAGCGGACTCCATCTCATTAGCTGTGGTGTTGTTGCTGTGTACAGTACAGATTCAACAGGCGAGGGGCTCGGGTGCGTGCATGCAATCACAGCCAATGGAAGTCTTCACATAGGATTAGGCATACTGGTCAGAAAAACTCAGCAAGTGGATCATTTTTATGTGAGGTTACAACCCCTTCACACACAGGCAATAAAAAAAGTGATTCATAAAAAAAAACCTACCCCTTTAAATCAATTTTATTAATGGCTGTGAAGTACTGCTGAAGGACAAACAAATTTTCCCAAGTGATGCCTTTATGATGTGTCACGCTCAAACAATGCTTTGGTATGAAGCCATTGTAGGGGGAAATCAGCTATTGATCACCCCCAGTTGGTGAATTGCCTTGAAATGAAGATTAAAGAGCACTACTATGCAGAATTACTCTAACTACCCTACCCTTTCAATCTTTCTCTCTCTCTTTCTATTGTTCCAATATATATCCAATAACACTATGCCATTCCTCAGCAGAGTATCTGCTGCTATGGCTAGCCATTTGTCTTTATGGTTAGTAATTCACTTACCAAGAGGAGTAGTGTATGGCCCAAACTTTCATCAGCAAAAACATTTTTTTTTTCATTTGAGAGTAAATGAAATGAATACAGGAAATAAATAAGCCAAAAAAATAAAGACTGGGAAAAAAATCTGATAAAATCCTTATGGCCAAGCGCAAATATTCCTCTCAGAGTGCTGCTGTACACTGCAATACTGTCTTTGTGTATGGAACAGTTATTCACTGTCAGCATGCAACAGCTTGCATGTACGTTGCGTGGCCGCCATCCAGTGAAACAGTTTGCATTCCTGTCTACCACCTGTCCTGTCTGTTCTATGCTGACAAATCAATTAGAAGAATTTGAACTTGCCCTGGAGAGTATTCCTCAATGCGTTTTGGCATCTGCAGTTGAAGTACATCTGCTGTAATCACCATGCTGTGTCAACACAGAGAACACAGTCACTGGCCTTTCTTCTGCTGACAAAAATTACCATGACGAGAACCTCCTCTGCTGGGACAGCAATATTAATCTTCTCCCTGACCTCAAATATTGTTTAAATGTAATCAAGCAGTGTTTGTAATCATGGATCTTGTTGTAGCTTTACAACAATATAAATGCTCAAAGATAGATTGTGGAGGATGATTGTTACATGTGATACATTAAAAAGGTAGACCAGGTCTATACAGATAAAGCACAATACCCTTGTAAGTATTACAATTACTGACCTTGCTCCTTCCATCAAAGATATTTTTTTCCCGAAAAAAAAAAAAACTAATAAGGAAATGTTTAGGGAAGGGATAATACATAATTAATGAGGATAATGTTTAGCTTATTCCCTCTAAAGACTGACTTTGAGAAGCAAAATGTGCATATGTCAGTAAGCACTGTATTTTAAGTGACCTTTCAAGGCCCACTCTTTGTGTGGTTAAAAAACCGGGTGCACTGCCTTTTTTGTTGAAGCCCACAATTGAACAAAAAAGCGCGGTGTGTGTGTGTGTGTGTTTATTTTTTTCTTTTATATGTTACAAGGAAACCACAGAATTATCTTTCCTTAGCCTAACCGCTAAGATAAGATAAGATAGCCTTTTATTATCATTGCAAAGACACCTACAGTGAATTGGGAGTGCCACAACTGAAGGTGCATTAGGGATAAAACAATAAACAGATAAAAACAAGAATAAAAAACAAACCAGGTATGGGTGATGTCATAATAAAAGGGTGAAGGCATTAAATATAGTGCACATGTTGTATGATAATGTATATAGAATTATTATTATTATAGAATTAATTATTGTACATGGCATTACAGCAGACACATTTTGATGTGTAGTAAACTAACACATTTACACCTTTTTATTTAAATATTCTGTTAATGGACAGGCAGGAGGCACTTGCTCTGGCTGTGATTGAGGGTGAGAGGTTGCACTCAAATAATACCCTGGACACAGGAAAACAAAGATACATGTACATACCCTCAGAAAGAGTAGAAAGAGTCGGAGAAAGTTTGATAATCTGCTGTCAATGTTTGGGTGTCCTGCCTGTCCTGTGGAGTCCTGCCAAGCTGCTGAGCATTTGTTTTGGTAGGTTGTGTTTGTTTTAACATCAACACTAACTGTTTATCCAACAGCCTAAAACTGACAGGTGATGAGAGACAGACTTTGTCGAGCTACTAGCTAAGCATTACAATGATAATATTGATTGAAAGTAAGCTAATGTTCGTTCAAACCATGAACTGTATGCTACCAGTTAACTGTTCAGTACCAGTTAAATCATAGTAACAACAGTTGGTAAAATCATATACGGGTATCCACTATTGGACAAAGGGAAAAAGGGGGGTTGGGCTTACAGTCACTTATTTTTTTAAATAAACAAAGTCTTTCTGATTTTACTCATCATGAGAGCTACATACAAAAATCTCTTACTAAAGTTACTTAAAATGGCAAAGATTGCTTAGATCTACTGATTATTTTCTTAATGACTTGATGGCCCTGCTTATTCAGCTTCCAAAAAAAGATGTTTTCCTACTAATTCCTGCTCTGCTGCAGATAAACACATGAATCATCAAATAATCAAGAATAACTAAATGTTTCTAGAGCAGCAAAAGTAATGTTTACAACAGCAAAGTCACTGTATACTCTATATGCTTTACAAGTTTACATGAAAATGCTTGTTGGACAGCTAAACTAAAAAAGACAAAATATGAGACGGACCTGCCCTGTGACAGTGTCACATTAACCTTTTCCCCCAAGAAGTACATGTGCTCCTAAATGAAAAAATCTAAGAACACAATAACAGTTTAGTAAAACAGATGTAAAATAGAACAAGTGGAACACTAGAAGGTGTTACTCTCAGGAGGAGACTGGCTAGAAGGAGCACATATTGGTACAATAAAAAAAATCTAAATCTGTCCACTACAGAGGCTCTATCCACAGCCTGGATAAGTAACTAGTTTAAATGAGAGTATAGGTATAATACTATAATATCATCATCATTTTAATGTTATGTATAATGTAGACCAAGATGGCGCTGAGCATAGCGGCCTCTGTGTTAGGGGCTCTTTGTTTTGTTGTGTTTTTGTGTGTTAATTCAGTTTTCGGCTGTGATTCCCGGTGCTCTTTCACCAAAGAAGAGCTCATGAACATCAGGGGAACAACTCCAGCGGATTTAGTTCCCACTTTTCTCGCGTCATCAGTGGAATTATTGGACATTTTGGTGAAGGGCTCTCTCGCTGTCGTGCGGGCGGCGAAGCGCCGCAGGAGAGGAAAAAGTCAGGTCGCTTGTGTGTCTCTGCACACCGCTACCGGCAATATTTCTCTCCAACGTGCACTTGTTTTGCAACAAACTGGACAAACTTCAGGTGGGAAAAAACAGAGACTTTTATTCATCTTCTGTTCTGTGCTTCATGAAGACGTGGCTGTGTGAACTGATACCGGACTCTGCGCTGCAGCTGGCTGGCTTCCAGGTCTACATAGCGGACCACGACACAGAGCTTTCCGGCAAAACAAAAGGTGGAGGTGTGTGTTTTTATATTAACAATGGCTGGTGTACTGACGTGACAGCAATTCAGCAGCACTGTTCTCCTAATCTGGAATATTTTATCATAAACTGTAAAATGTTTTATTCCCCCCCCGTGAGTTTGCTTCATTCACTCTGGTCGGTGTTTACATTCCGCCCCAGGCCAACGTTCAGGATGCACAGCGCATGCTGGCCGACCAGATACTTTGTGTGGAGCAGACAAACTCGGACTCCCTTGTTATTGTTCTCAGTGACTTTAACAAAGAAAACCTCAGACAAGAACTCCCCAAATACAGAATATATAAAGTGTCCAACCAGAGAGAGGAACACTTTAGATCACTGCTACACCACAGGTAGCAGTGCCTATCATACCATCACACGCGCTCCACTGGGACACTCTGATCATAATAATAATAATAATCTTTATTTGTAGAACACTTTTCAAAAACATGTTACAAAGTGCTTTAACAAGTGTAAAGACAATAATACCCAAAAGACAATAATACAAAAACAATACATGATAAAAACAAAACATTGAAAAGACTAAAATACACGTTTAAGATAAATATAAAATAAGTAAAATTGAATAAAAGGGATAAAATAAAGTCTAATAAAATTGGGAAAGGCTCTCCTATAAAAGTATGTTTTAAGAAGGGACTTCTTAAAACAGGGAGTTCACTGACTCAGCCGACCTGATTTCCTCGGGCAGGCTGTTCCAGAGCCTCGGGGCCCTGACAGCAAACGCTTTCAGTCGAGACTCTGGAACAGACAACAGACCTCTGCCCGAGGATCTCAAGGCACATGCTGGTGTGTATGAGACTAAAAGGTCAGAAATATAACAAGGCGAGAGGCCATGAAGAGCTTTAAAAGTGATCAATAGAATTTTAAAGTCAATTCTAAAACATACTGGGAGCCAGTGTAATGAAGCTAAAATAGGAGTAATGTGGTCATATTTCTTTGTTCTGGTTAAAAGCCTGGCAGCTGAGTTCTGGACAGTCTGGAGTCGATCAATAGATTTTTGGGTTAAACAGGTGAAAAGGCTGTTGCAATAATCCAGGCGTGATGAGATGAAGGCATGTAAAATGGTCTCGGTGTCCTTAAAAGTTAACATAGATTGAATTTTTGCTATATTTCTAAGTTGATTAAAAACATGATTGAACAAGCTTTGTGATGTGCTGCTCAAAATCAATCATGCATCAAACCAAACACCAAGGTTCTTTGCAACAGGCTTAATGTGATTTACTAGGGGACCAGCAGATGGCAGTATTTGATTTGCCATCTGCCATCCTCCCGGAAAAAAGGTAGAGTGACAGCGGCTATAGACAGCCAGGGTGACAGCTTCACAACAGCCACAAGATCCAAGAAGAACAAAACTACAGGGGAGGAGGAAAAGAAGGTCAAACGCAACAACATTGTGATTCCATACGTGTCTGGAGTATCAGAGAAACTCAGAAGGATTTTCAACAAACATAACATCCCTGTGTTTTTTAAATCCAAGAACACACTAAGACAGATGCTGGTACACCCCAAAGACCGCACACCCAAACACAAGAAAAGCAATCTAGTGTATGCGGTCCAATGCAGTGAGGAATGCACAGACCTGTATATTGGGGAGACTAAACAACCACTACACAAACGCATGGCTCAACACAGAAGGGCCAACTCCTCAGGTCAAGACTCTGCAGTCTACTTACATCTGAAGGACAGAGGACACTCGTTTGAGGACCACCAGGTGCACATTTTAGACAGAGAAGATGGATGGTTTTAAAGAGGTGTCAAGGAAGCATCTACACCAGGGTTGAGAAGCCGTCATTGAACAGGGGAGGGGGTCTACGCCACCACTTATCCCCCACTTACAATGCTGTCCTTTCATCACTTCCCAGGAAACTCAACAAACGTAACCTATTGTCCTCAGGTGAAGATACCAACAATGGTCGTTCAGTCTTGGCCACAGGTAGTCTCAACGACTGTAACGACTGTCGTCACAGAAACAAGGAACACTAACGAACCAGCGGTATCGATGACCCGGGCCAACGACCCCACTGAGGTTAAATAGCTGAGTTTCCCTGCCAGTCAGTCAGAACTGAAGAAGTCCTTTGGATGAGGGACGAAACGTCTTCCAGTATCTTCAACCAAGTCCAGTTGCCCTTGATTTTAACCTTCGTTGGATAACTATGACCTGGATGACTGAGAATCTTCATAGACAGCTTCACACAATATAATGGAAACTCAGGTAAACCCCTACTGCAACGTTACAGTTATAGTTTTATCAGCTGCAGGTTGAACTAATCCATGCTCGTTACATGATCACGGTACATTTACTGCATTTAGCCAACGTGCTACAGTGTTAGCTCGTCTACTGCTTTCATTAACTATCTGTGTATTTTTCACCGGAGGCTCAGCAATATCAGCACAGCTAACTGTACTGGATGATAACAAAATGGCTAGTGAGCTGGACTTAATATTATGAGATTGTGTCACACTTTATAATAAGACTGCAGTAAGTAACTTTACTGTAGTATTAGTGGATGGCCTCTGGGTTGTTGTCGCTGTGAAGTTGAGTATTGGTAAAACCATAATAAACCTAAACTGAGCGTTACAAAGCAGGTCCGAGCTACTGTAGCATTAGCTGGCTGCATCACTATAGGCTAACGTTAGTAAACACATCGCTCCACATTTGCTTTGTACACAGGATAGTAACATGGGTCGCTTTAGTTTTGTGAAGTAATGTGGAAAGCGATATAACATTAGCAACTGCTCGGTGTTAGCCGGTGATCTAACGTGACTTTCTCTGTTTCTCCAGCTTTACGAATGCTCACTTTGTTCTTACTCGACATCATCTGAACCTGTTTGGTCTGATGGGCTTCAGCACATAAAACTTTATTGTTGTTTTGTATCCTTACGTGGAGGTTTTGCTGTGAGCCGGTTGTTTTTATGGTGTTAGTGGACTTCATGTCGTCTTGTCGTTGTAGTATGAGAGAGGCTCGGGAGTGCACACAGAGCTGAACCCAGGCCGGAGTCCCCACATTAAAGGCAGAATAGTGGCTGATGCAAGCAACGGAGAAAACAGGCGTGTGCTTCATTTCTAAGTGAGTTTTGAGCCCACTGACAATAAGGCTACTTATATATACAATAATACTAACTTGTCTATGATCATCACCATTCATGCATAACAACATGTTCAACATTTCAAAAGTTTGCTGTAGCACTTTTTTTAATGTCCCTTCCAGGCTGTGATTGGTCAGTTTACAAAAAGTGACATTGATGAGCGCATTGGCTTTATATAAAGTTGAAGATGACAGTAGCATGTAGTCTTTGCTCACACACTGTGCTTGTAAATAATATTTCCAGTTTGCACATATCTATTTTTAGGGGCTTTTTTAAAAGAGTGAAATACTTGCACAATAGAGCCCTGTGTCACTGGCATGTTTGCTTAAACCCTTTACTAAAAATACTTAATATATATATATATATATTGGTTTGAAAATTCATCAACATGCAGTGTGGCTAGTTTTCACAGAACCAGTGGAGTTGGGACACCACACCACTGGAGAATTACTGGGTTTGTATCATTAAATTAAATATGTTCTTGATACCAGGTGCTGTTTTCTGACAAAGAAAGCTACAGTATGTGTCAAACCATCTATTTTTAGTGCATTTATTAGATATATCTGAAAATAGCAACCTTCTCCACAGGCTTTACCAGCGAGAGGAATGAAGTGACAATATTCTGATGTTGAATATGACACAATCTGCCAATGAGTAACGTGTGGCAACTCTGTATAGCTTATTGAAACTACGCACAGTAACAAATGCAAACCTTGAGAAATAGATTTGATTCTATATTCCAATTTCATGCTGATAAGCCGCAACCTAATCCTTTTAAACAGTTATTAAAAGCAGGAGAAATTATTTCTCATGGCAACATAACCTTCTACACATACAGGAAATGAGACATTTTAAAGCCTTTCAAATTGAAAAATGTAGATGGAAGAACTAAAATAAAGTTCTCAATAAAGTTTATTAAAACTCCTTAAATATTTATTCTCTTTCTTTATTTTTATTATTTGAACTATTACATGTTAATGCAAAGATCTAATTAACCTTATAATTCTATATCTCTATCTCCCAAGTGTGTCCCAGGTAGACCTTATTCTTCTGGTTTATTATTGTGTTCTTTCTGTACCAAATGTGTTCACTTGTTTGAACTCACTATTGTTCTATGTGAAGGCCTGAATAGAGTGTTTTATGTCAAAGTTAAAATACTCATTTACAGAGTTCAACACAACAGTCAATGTCTATAAGAATGCTATTTCATCTAATGGTCTATTTTAGCCTCTATAGAAATAACCACAGGTTGTTCAGCAGATTATAGATAAAGTATATATTTCCATTTCAATGGCATCCATCCCATTTTAAGACACTGTAATTTAGGTATCGTGCTGTAAATCTAATGTTCCATAAGATGTATCTGTTGCAATAAAAGCTAATGTCTAAATCTTTATATTCACACAGCAGCTACTTTGAAACCATTCAGTCCATGATAAAACACGGATGACACAAGCAATAAATCACACAAAATGTAAATGCCTTGTATAAAAAGAAAAAAAGTGAGAATTAATGTTAGACAAGTCTCCAGCAATTGTGCATACCTGCACTTACACAACATGTTGATTTGTTTTATGTTTGGTTTAAGTCTTTTCCAGGAGCCCTGTCTAGTCTCAGAAGGGGGGGTGAAATCATATTTATTGTTGTTCTAAGGGATATATGAGGGATCAGGAAGCTTTGCAGTCTATTGTGTGGCTGGTGGCGGATTACAGTGTGTTTGCAAAGCCTGCCATGGCCCTGAACTCCAGGAAAGATGAGAAGATGAAATGTCTCACCACATGTTGCAAAATCAAATACAACCCACAATGGCGCATAAGGGGACTGCCACCTGGGGCTTAAGACAGCACAGCAAGAAATGAAGACACACATGCCACCTAAGGCTAAGCATACA